CATGATCTTCCTTTTTTGCAGGAGCAGGCAGCGCCGGCTCCGGCTCCGGCTCCGGCTCCGACGCAATGGGGTCCAGCTCGCGGAGGCGGTACGGTCGTCTCCGGAAGAGGCGCGTGGGCTCGTAAGCCGCAAGTCATTTCCGACTCAGCTCCATCTCCTCCGTCTCCGGCCGTGATGCAATCCACGAGAGCTCCGATTCATGAACCGGTGGCTGGTACGTGTAGAGCTCGGTACCTGACTCTGTTCTTACAATAATCGTTTATGGTTTGGTTATGAAATTTGCTGGAAATGTCTTTTTCGGAATCGAATTTGAAATTTGCAGAATCGTTGCCCATAGACGAATTTAGACCATTCGATCAGCAAAATTTTCCAGTTCCAGACCATTAATGCTCGCTGTTACGTGGATTTGGAAATGGCAAAACCTTTTGCTTGATTTGGGGGCTAGATTATGAACAATATGAGATGCCTTTGAATAGAATTCCCTGAATCAATATGAGAAATGTTTCATCTCCATATTTATGATCTTCCCTTTGGTATGTCGTTTTTTACCCTTTGCAGCTTCTGAACTTTCAAAGACTCTGTCATCATTAGCAATTGCTTCCTCTTCTTCTGCTGCTGCTTCTTCTTCCAAAGGAGAGAATGTTGGCAGGAAGGAACCAATGAAGCGTCCTGATAAAGGCGGTGTCGTGGCTGTTCGGCGTGTAAACCTTCTTGTCAACCATTTCCTTGTGAGGTTCAATCCCGAAAGTGTTATACTGCAATACGATGTTGACATCAAAGCCGACGCTCCCGCCAAGAACGGTCGTGAAGTTAAAATATCGAAGTTCGATCGGGCTATGATCAGAGACAAGTTATCTGCAGTCAATCCCAAGGAGTTTCCTCTGGCCATGACGGGTTACGATGGTGAAAAGAACATCTTCAGTGCAGTTCCGTTACCGTGCGGGACCTTCAAGGTAGACATGGAAGGCGAAGACTTGAGGTGTCGTAGCTATACGTTCACCATCAAGCCAGTGAACAAGCTTAAGCTCCGTGAACTGAAAGAATTCATGACAGGAGTCTCCTCTTTCGTTCCCCGTGACGTGTTGCAAGGGATGGAAGTCGTGATGAAGGAGAATTCATCGAGGCGTATGATTACTGTGGGTAAGAGCTTTTATTCACGCGAGACCGAACCCGATGAAGAGTTCGGGAATGGGATTGTAGCTTCGAAAGGGTATCGACACAATCTGAAGACCACTGTTCAAGGTCTGGCCGTGTGTTTAGACTACTCCGTGCTAGCCCTCCGCAAGACTATCCCCGTCATCGACTATCTGAACGAGTTCTTTGGCGGGTTTGATTTCCGCCAGTTTAAGAGATACAGACGTGATGTGGAAGATGCATTGAACGGGTTGAAAGTATCTGTCACGCATCGGAAAACCAAGCAGAAATTCACCATTGCAAAGCTGAGCGAACAAGATGCGAAAGACATACGGTTTGATCTTATAGATCAAGAGGGTAAGGAGCCGCCGAGAAAAATATCTATCGTCGAGTATTTCAAGATTAAATACGGTAAGGACATTGTTCATAAGGATATTCCGTGTTTGGATCTCGGAAAGAACAATCGGCAGAATCTTGTGCCCATGGAATTATGCGTCTTGATCGAGGGCCAGATTTACCCGAAAGAAGAACTGGATCGGGATTCAGCCTTGTGGCTGAAAAAACTATCACTAGTGAATCCTCAAAAACGGCAGGAAAATATATTGAAGATGATACATTCGGCTGATGGACCCAGTAGGTATGTATGGAAAAACCTCTCTTGAAGAAATTTAATGGCTATTACCGATGCTTAAGTCTTTTTCATGTGTTTATTGCAGCGGGGATGTGCTCCAAAACTTTGGTTTGAAAGTGGACAGGAACATGACTTCGGTCGAAGGTCGTGTTCGCAAGGCTCCGACGCTGAAATTGGGTGACAAGGGCAGAGTTGTCCCCGTGGAACCCGAGCCGAAACAAAACCAGTGGAACCTTATGAACCGAGGAGTCACGAGAGGGGCGACAGTCAAATACTGGGGTGTTTTGGACTTCACAGCTTCCGAGAGACAGAACAGGCTGCCCAATTCCTTTATCGGACAGCTTATAGAGCGATGTCGGGGACTGGGTATGAAGATGGAGGCGCCTGTTTTGTGCGAAAGAGCCGAGATGAGGTCATTTTCCAATGCAAATGCACTCGAAGAATTGCTCCGATACAGCGTTGATAAGGTTCATAGTGAGCATAACGGAGCCCGTCTCCAACTACTTCTGTGCCCGATGACCCGGAGGGACGACGGGTACAAGTCTCTCAAGTGGATCGCGGAAACCAAACTCGGTTTGGTGACTCAGTGTTTCTTGACAGGACCTGCCATGAAAGGTGGCGATCAGTACCGCGCGAATCTCGCCCTTAAGATCAATGCCAAGCTCGGGGGAAGCAATGTCGAGCTGATGGATAGTTTCCCGTTCTTTAGCGGGGATGATCATGTGATGTTCATCGGTGCTGATGTTAATCACCCGGCTGCAAGGGACACGATGAGTCCGTCGATTGTTGCCGTTGTCGGGACCGTTAACTGGCCTGGCGCGAACCGTTACGCGGCTAGAATCCAAGCTCAAGTCCACCGTAAAGAAGAGATTCAGGGATTTGGAGAAATCTGCTTGGAGCTCGTCAGAAATCACGCTCAGATCAGCGGGAAATATCCGAACAAGATCGTGATATTCCGGGATGGTGTCAGCGACGGTCAGTTCGATATGGTTCTGAACACCGAGTTATTGGACGTTAAGCTCGCCTTCGAGAAGAAAGGTTACAAACCGAGGATCACGCTCGTCGTGGCTCAGAAACGTCATCAAACCCGATTCTTCCCGAGGTCGAGGCAGGATGGGGGTATGACGGGTAACGTACCATCCGGCACCATCGTCGACACCAAGATCATCCACCCGTTCGAATACGACTTCTACATATGCAGTCACCACGGCGGGATGGGAACGAGCAAACCGACACACTACTACGTCCTATGGGATGAGATCGGGTTTTCGTCCGACGACATCCAGAAGCTGATATTCGAGATGTGCTTCACGTTCTCCCGGTGCACGAAGCCCGTATCTCTCGTCCCGCCCGTCTATTACGCGGATATCGTTGCTTACAGAGGGAGGATGTATCACGAGGCGATATCGGCGCAAGGACAGCAATCCCGACAGCGGTCGAGGGGCGCTCCTCCGTCGTCCTCGCCGCCGATGGAAGCGTTCTACAAGCTGCATTCCGACATGGAGAACGTCATGTTCTTCGTCTGAACATTTTTAGTTTGGTTTTTGGGTGGATGAGCTCTCAAGGAAAACATTTTGATCGAAACGCCATCTTTACTCCTTTTCCTGGTGGAAGGAGTTTGTGCGTGAATCTAAAATGGTTTCGCCTTCGTCTGTTTTTTTTTTTTTTTTGTGTTCGTCTTTTGTTGGTTGTTCGGACAAAAATATCATTTGCTGATGTCGTTGTTTATGTTTTTTTTTTCTTTGGTTATGTAATCCAAACTTCTCGTGTGTTTATTTTGTTTATGTTATATATATATATTTTTAAAACTATGTTAATATGCATATATTTAGCGTAGTCATTTTGATTATTAACCAAATAGTCGAATAATCATAATCAAATCGAATTTCATATAATAAAAATTAAACGAATTTCATATAATAAAAATTAAACGGTTATAATTTTTTTAATCTAAAAAATTATATTTAAGAACCAGGTAAATCAAATAAAAAATGATCTAAAAACTTGATTTTTTTTAAAAAAATGAGTTTTAATTCGAATCAAACATAAAACCACCGAAATTGATATAAAAAATTGAATGATTATAATTTTTCTATAACCGAAATAATCGGAAAGCTAGACCTATGTGAGTGTTTTATACCATCTCTAAATAATATTTTCTTTGTCATGGGCGTTTCGTCAACAAAGAAATAAAAATTGTGTAGAGTTTCAACCAAAATTATAAACCGGTTATTTCGATTTTTGTTCGGTCTTAGTTTCTTTTATTTTGATACAATTAGGCTTATTCATATTTTATAAAGTGTGTATATATATATATATATATATATATTTCATATTTTATTTTTATTTTTATATTCTATTTTAAAATTTATTATTTATCCATCGAATTGGATTTAATACATCCTAAACAACCGTACCAAACCCAACGAAAAGGACTAGGAAACTATATAGATCCAATTCAACCACCTTTTCTATTTAAATATTTCCATATTATCCTTTTTTTTTCAATTTACTTCTATAATTCAATATTTTTATTTATTTTTCTATATATGAAAAAAAAATGTTATGATCCATTTATGTTAATTTCAATTTTCAATCCTTTCATTTTTTTTTCATATTTTGTTTTTATTCATTCTGCCGTTTCAACGCGGATCGAGTGCTCTCCCTTCACGTTTGATCGAAACTCACAAAAGCTTCAAAGACAGTTCATATTATTTCTTCTCCATTGCCTCTCTCTCTCTCTCTTCCCCAGTTTTTCTCCATCTCTGCTTCTTCGTTTCTTCGGATTCATACCTTTTTCTTGTCTTGATTTTGGATTCTCCTCAGGTACCCTTTTTGCCATCTGTTCATGTTTTTCGCGTTCGTGGATTCTGTAGATCGGATTTGACTTCGATCTGTTTCGAGATTCTTCGTCGTTCTTCCATCGATTATGCGGCGTTTTCTCCGTTTCCTGTAGTGGTCGCATTGCCTGTGTGTTGCTTCTTTCGATCTAATCTGCGTTTTGATGTTTCATGAGTCCCAATCTGTCTCTAGGGTTCATCCGGGTCGTTATGTTTCCAAACACTTCGCATCTTATTCTATCGAGATGGACGGATTATCATGATTCATCAACATTTTCTGGATTCAGGGTATGATCTTCTGTGATCATTAGTAAGTATTCGGCCTTTTGATTCTCGCATTGGGAACGAGCATGGAGGGAATGATGAGATGAGAATGAGCGAAAGTTGAAGAGCTAAAAACTTCGAACTGGTTACAATGTCGGTGCCTACGGAGACGATCACCGCCATTAAATCTTACCATAACCATGCTCAGGACTTGGTCAAGAACTATCTCTTGTCTGACCCTTTTATCCCTTATACGTCGATCCTTACCGGCATTTTCCTCTGCAAAGTGGTATGATTCTCTTGATTCTTTCAATCGCTGGATTTACAGATTCATCCCACACTCGGTTCATTCACTCACCATCATGATCTTCCTTTTTTGCAGGTCTTTGATCTTTTCCACTTCATCAGCAACTCACATTCTAAGACATATATCATTCTCACAAAAATCCAACGGATTGAATGGAACAACCGGTGGGTATTGGTATTGATAGTTATCCTTTTAAGTGCTATGTCTCATTTAGGATCTTGGGTTTGCATTTTTTCTTTTTGGGTTTTAAATCAAGGGTCTATTTTGGCAGTGGCATCTCAACGGTTCATGCCATTTTTATCTCGGTTGCGGCTGTGTATTTCGTCTTCTGGTCCGACCTCTTTTCCGATAGGTGGCATAACGATCTTGTTGTTTTCCGGAGCTCGCCACTTTCCTCCTTCTGTTTAGGGGTAATTTCTGATTTGAGTTTGATTTCAAATACAAATGCTGAGAGAAGTTTCACCAATGTGAAATGTGTATGTGTATACTGTTATTATTTGCAGGTATCTATAGGTTACTTCCTTGCTGATCTCGGTATGATCTCTTGGCTGTATCCTTCCTTGGGTGGACTAGAGTATGTAAGTCACTGTTCTTGGCCAAAGGCATGAGAAAATCTTCTCCAATATTCAAACTTTTTGATTCCGTTCTTTTATTCGTCTATGTACCTCCTACTCGCCCAGTGACATCCGTCTATAATTTTCCACCCGAAAAGTACTTCTTATGCCTTTGTAGTTTTGCTAATTTAATGAGGAGGGGCCGTCTTTAGAAATTGTAACTTGTTCGGTAAACAGATCATGAAGATGTTGGAGTGCATATCGGCAAATCTTTACATAGAAAAATCGGCATTGTGTTTCTTTCAGGTTGTGCATCATGCTCTCTCGGGCGTTGCAGTTGCATACTCTTTATTTTCTGGAGAAGGACATTTATATACATACATGGTCCTAATCTCCGAGATCACAACCCCAGAGATCAATTTGAGATGGTAGCACTCTCGTTCTCATACAACCGCAACTATCACCATAGCTTTTTTCTTTCTCTTGGCCCAAAAAGAAATCGGTTTCTTGGGTCTTATACAGGTACCTGGACACAGCTGGTATGAAGAAATCCAGTGCCTATCTTATCAATGGCGTCGTCATCTTCTTGGGTTGGCTGGTACATCTGAATATCTCAATTCGCATCTCGTCTAATCTCACTATGTTCAATCATACTAAATGGTTATGACTCACGGCAGGTTGCAAGAATTCTTCTGTTCATCTACATGTTTTATCATGTCTACCTGCACTACAACCAGGTAAATCCTGTTCCCTTCTTGTTCTCCTCTTCATTCTCTCTGTCACATCAAGTTCAGCTATGACCCATTTGAGTTTGAGATGCCAGAATGTGAGATCTTTGATGAATTTATGGTTTTCGAATGGATTCTGGTAGGTAATACGGATGCATATCTTCGGTTATCTACTGGTTTTCGTTGTACCGGCAGCTCTCGGGGTCATGAACTTGATATGGTTCAGCAAGATTGCGAAAGGGGTGAAGAAAACATTAGCCAAGAGATGGTGAATGAATGATCTGACCTCTCCTTACATCCCATACTCAATTCTTTTGTTTTGGTCTTATATTGTCTCTATGTAGTTTACAAGTAGTTGTCTGATAGAAATGATACATGTCATAGAGCCTGTAAATCATCAAATGTCTCACCATTTCTCTTTGTGATATATATCTGCCTGTAACTCAGATTTCCATTGTTCATCACTTTTTTCTACTTCTTCAGCTTAATAGCTTAAACCAAATGGTAAACCAGGCATTCATCTCTCCCTGATTATCACTGCCTTGAACCGGAAGAAATCAATATTGGACAGTAATTTCTGCTGTAAACCGAATATTGATGTTGGTTTACCACTGGGAAGAACCAAAACAAACCGGAATGAAATCATTACACTGGAAAACCGATGTCGGTTTTGCCATATGGGTGGGTATCTTCAGCATTGCCATTAAAAAAGAATAATCAGACAAAGAAAGGTAGAAACACAGACAGGAATGTCTCAACAGCAAGATTGAGAATTTGCAACACTTTCTTGTGGTCTGTTTCCGACAAGAACTGCTCCGGTCGCTGCTGGATTTTGAGTCGGCCGCAACTGAAGTAACCTTCTCGCTGCATCAGAAGGTTCGAGAACTTGTATGAGAAGGAGATGCTCATTACATTGTTCTGTAACAAAAGAGAGGATGATGAAAGAAATCAAAGTACCTATCTCTTGAAAAATGTCACTAACGTTGACTGCTGTTTTTGCTGATGTTTCCATGAAGAAAAGACCGTTCTGTTGCGCATAAGCTTTCGCCTCCTGAAAACCCGAGAAGGATGATAATTACTGTTACTGTCGGCTTAAAATGTATAGTTTACCGTTTCCATGCCTTGAAATGTATTTGAATCCAAGAAAATATGAGATGAAAAACCGGCATGATTTACCTCCGTTGTCACCTTACGAGCATCCGGGAGATCAGCTTTGTTCCCGGCCAGTGCCACAACCATATCAAGGTCGCCTATTTTGCATGAAAAGCGAATCAAAGAAACTTAGAAACGAGTTCTAAAATCAGACCAAGTGACAAGATTTCGAGTTGTAATCACAGTCAAAGGACTGGTTCTTTATGATGCATATGAACAAGCAGCCACACATTCAAGGAGGATTCAAGAATTTTACGAGGTTACCTTGCAACCGAAGCTCCTGGACCCATTTCTTAGCTCGATCAAACGAGTTCTGACAAATGAAGTAAGCTAGGTTAAAAACTATAACTCACAGCCAGAGAACCGTAAAATGTACAATTCAGACAAGCTTCTTCTGCTCGGGTATTTTTACCTGATTTGTTATATCGTAGACAACAATTGCTGCCATTGCACCCCTATAGTACATGGGAGCCAAGCTGTGGTAACGTTCTTGCCCTGCAGTGTCCCATATTTCAAATTTAATGGCGGTTTCATCTATGGCTACTGTTTGCGAGAAAAATGCAGCACCAATGGTAGATTCCTGAGATGCAATGGAAGAAAACAGATTGGGATTATGACGATGGAAAAATCGATGCAAACCCTTGAGGATCTTTGATGAATGCCACCCACTGACCTGAAATTCCATGAACTGTCCTTTGACAAAACGCAGCACAAGACTCGATTTTCCAGTACCGACATCTCCAAGAAGCACCTGAAGAAGAACATGGAATCAGACAGCTAAATTCTGATGGACAAGAAAGCTAGAGAACAAGAACATGAATTCTCACAACCGAATAAACGACCCAAACACTAACAGAGTTTCTTACTTCTCTAAGTTTAGCATCAAACGTGCATCAAAACCAGGAAAGATTAACCTTTTGGCCGTAAGACAAGCTTTACACATATTGCCAGATGAAGAAACCATATAAAGGTATGAACCCTAAAGCCGGAAAGATGGATTGTAAGGGACTATGAACCAGAAGTCATCTTACAAAGTAGCTGAATTATACCAAATAAGTCTCAATAATCATATGCTTAACCAATAAACAAATCAGCTCCTGGCAAGATAAGCATCGTTGCCAAGCAATCGAACCATAAGAAGACGTAATAATCAAAATTTAACATAAATCCTAAGCTTTTGAAACTCGAGCAGATGACCAGAGTCGACGACACTAATCAAATTTACAAAATTTTCCCCATCGAGCACGCTCTCGAATTCCCCACAAAAGTAACACGAAATTCGACGACAGATCGTGGTTTCTCAACGATCAACGCAAGACCCGCGTCTAAACTCATCGAAACGGGAAAAGGGTTTGGATTGAAACGAAAAAAAAAAAAAAGGAGAAAAAAAAAACCCTCACCAATTTGGCGTTAATGTTCTTGCCTCCAGAACTGGCCATTGCTCGTCCCCGACAAAATCAGCCCGATCAACGAAGACGATCAAACCAGAAGAATCACGATCGACAGTTTGCGATTACGGGGCTGAAGAATCGGTGAAGTTCTCGATGAAATCTCTCCGCGATTTTCAATTTCCAAATATTTACGCGGTTTTGACGAAAAACCCTTATTTATGATGATGCTTGTAGTTGTTTGGGTTGGACAAGGATGACTATAATTGTGGCGTGGAAGGAATTATGATAATATTTCACTCCGTATAACAACTCAATATAAAATTGACTAATATTTTTTCTGAAAAATTGCAATGTTAAATAAAAGAAAAAAAAAATTGCATATATATTAATACATGAATTTGTAAAAAAAATCTCATATGAATATACAAATTTTAAAATCTCTAAAAACAATATATGATATCTTCTTAATTTTACTTTAAAACTTGGACTTTTTTTTTCAAATATCATATATCATAATGGTATTTTAGAGTCTTTAAAATTTTATGGCGATTTTTAAAATAATTTCAAAAATTATGATTTTATTTTCAAAATTCAGAATGATTTAATATTAAAATTAGAAAAAGTTTATATCTTTATTTGAAAATTTTAAAGTTTATAAATTCATGTATTAATATGTGATTTTTTTTTAAATAAAAATATATACGTATACTAACAAATGTTATGAGACCGTGTAATTCATTTAAATTGGCGAGTGGGAGGTTGAAGTAAGTATTATATTCATACTATATTATATCAAACATATTTTCTGTATTTTCGGGAATGATTATGGCATGTCATCATGCTGGTGCTGGTGGGCACACCACCGACTTTGCAACACCGGAAATGATAAAATAAATATTAAATATTATATATATAATTATATTGTTGTGAAAAACGAAGAAATATAGAAGACCCGAGAATCAGATCGTTAACTAGAAACCGAAATCGATCGTTTGAGAGACCCGGGAACAAGATTTCAATAATTTTCTTTTCTTGGAATTGTGTACAAATGAAGGAGGGAAATGAGCTATTTATAGAAAATCTGAAGTTACTGTTCACGTATACGTATTTATGAACAGTAACCGTATGGCGGCTAAACAGTAACCGTATGGCGGCGTGAACAGTACCCGGCTGCGTGAACAGTGCCCGGCTGCGTGAACAGTACCGTAGCTTCACTATTCATTTATAACATATATATATTAATTTACAATTTAGCGAATTGTTATTCGTAAATTCGAAAACTCAATCATCTGTTTGAAAAAATAATTTATTTGAGATCAACTAAATTTTTTATTTTTAAAAATCTTATTTCTGTATTTAATAATTTATCTAGATCAAGTTTTATTATATTTTACCATCAATTTGATTTAAAAAAATCGTGTGCTTTGGTAAATTGTCCCCCACATGTTATCAAATTAAAAATTATTGGTACCATAAGATTTCGTCCATATATATAAACGTATGAATATTTATTTAATTTTAATAATTTTTTAATTGTTCTTTTAGTTTTATATTAATTTATTTGCGACAATTTAACAGAATCATAATATACGCTTTGATATATTTTTTGAAAAATATTACCCACATTTTTATATATTTTGGTTTTATTATTTTATCTCTTAATCGCATTCCACGTTCTCTGTTCCTATTATTTTTTTTATTTTTTTTTTCAAAATTATTGTAATATTGATCAATCATATCATAGCCTATATGATAAATGATGGCAGAAAACTATAATAAAACTATATAATTGATTACTGTTTTCGTCACTCGTTTTTATTAAAAGAAACCCATTTATTTTATTTAAAAGTCTTTGAATTTAGTAATTTTATTCTTCCTATAAAATATATGCAAGCTATTTTAAGGATCCACTAATTAATCATGACAAGTAAAAAATATTGGATTTTTTTTATGAACATGCATGTGGTAATCCGGGGGATGTTCGAATATGTGGAAACACATGAATCATTTTTGGCAGAAAATAATAGATTTTTATGGCTAAAATAATTATGTTTTTTTCTCAAAATAATACATATATATATATATATATATATATATAGATAGATAGATTCCATGTAATTTCTAATACTTTTTTAATCACGATTTTAAGGTAAATAAAAATTAATTTTATTGGTTGCAAAATTTGTTGTTTGTAACCAATGAAAATATAACACGTGTCTATACAGTCAAGCTTTGTCCGCACATTCATGCACAAAGCGTGAATCATACCAAACGTTATGGACAGTCATTTTACAGCATAATTTTTAATATTTACACAAACTATTTTATAAATTGCACGTTAAATAATTCGAATCTGATCATTATTATTTTTGGGATAATTTCACGTTTAAAAAATTATAATTTCAGTGTTTGATGGATAATTAAGAATAAAATTTCAGCAAAAAATGAAACATTAAAAGTATATTGAAGAAAATAATTTAAAGATAATTAATAGAATATTTGGTAGGGAGGGGGGTTTTGACTAGAGCCACCACACATGTGATGCGAGCAGCTTTGGAGATTGTGTTGTTATATTCCCCAAAGGATCTTTTGGGCCATAACTTCCGTATCTTCATCTACCAAATGTCGGCGACTTTATTATTATTATTATTATTAATAAACTAAAAAAATCATAACTATACTATTTATCTAAAGTCTTTATAAAAAATCATCAATTACTTTAAATTTGATATAAAAAACTATCAACTATTAGTTTTAATTCAAAAACATATTTTACTTTAAATTTATTATAAAAGTCTATAATTTTTTAAAAATATATATATATAAATTTTATTTTTCAAAATTTATAGATTTCTATAACAAAATAAAATATTTTCTCAAGAAATTTTAGATAGTTGATGATTTTTTTTTTATTAAAACTAATAGTTGATAGTTTTTTTTATATCAAATTTAAAGTGAAAGATTGTTTTTAATAAATTATATAGTCCATATTTTTTGTTTATATGATTTTTATAATAAATTTAAAGTATAATTTTTTTGTATAAGTAACATAATTGGTGGGTTTTTTATTATTAACACAACACGAGGACCTTTTTAATTAAGACAAAAATCTGTGTCTGATATTTTTATTATATCGAATTTTAGTTCAATTCCAATTTTGTTTGAAGTCATCTCGTATCTACAAAAACAATTAAGCTGTATAAAAAGATTTTCATTTTTATAAGAAAATATTCGGATTTCTGTAAAAGTCTTAAGGTTTTTTCAACAAAAAAATGCAATTCAATTTAAATTTTATTTCAGCGTATTCATTCAAAATATCTAACTTTCATATTTAAGGATGGAAACCTTTTTTGACATTGTGGGGGAAACAAAAGAAAAACATGAGAGAGACATTTTCGGTCACTGTGATCACGACTGGATCACCATCATCTGTTTCCCACCAGTTATGTAATCAGACGAGCTGGATTCTCCCATCTCTCCCACTTGTCAAATTTCTCTCCCTTCGGTGTCTGAATTCTGATCTAAATCGGTAATAACAGAGCAGATTTACCTCCCATCGTGAGGCGTGACCATTCGCTTGAAGTGCGAGGCGTCACTGATCTCTGGGGCGGAGGATCCCAGAGAGAGAGAGAGAGAGAGAGAGAGAGAGAGAGGCAGCCATACCTGAGCTTGGCAAGAGAGATAGCGAAGGCGACTGAGGTTAGGGTTATTTTGGGGGTCGAAGAGGAGATGAAAAACGGCTCTTATACACAGTCTGATATATATGTGTGTGTGTGTGTATGTAAGAGGGTACGAATATAAAAACATATTTAAAATTATTTAATTATTTAAACGGGATTAAATCATGTAATCGCTGATTAGAGCGGCCAAAGCGAAGCAACTTTTCGTCGTGTCATATCTTCTCCCGATGGCAAAACCCAATCCTTTATGGCATCCCCTCTTCCATGAGCTCCATCTCCGCAGCTCAGACACGGCGGCGATTAGGGTTCCGGCATGGCGGCGAAGAAGGCGTGCGAGGCTTTTCCGAAGAGCTTGATCGAGGACGTGCACAGATGGGGTTGCATGAAGCAGACGGGTGTGAGCCTCAGGTACATGATGGAGTTCGGTTCGAGACCCAATGAGAGAAAACTTTTGATCTCTGCTCAGTTTCTCCACAAGGAGCTCCCGATTCGGATCGCGAGGAGAGCGATTGAGCTCGAGACCCTTCCCTACGGTTTATCTGAGAAACCCGCCATTTTGAAGGTGCCCTTTTTTAGGGTTCAGATTCTGGGTTTTTCATGGTCTTGTGCTGTTGCTCTCGTGGGATTACGCGGAGGTTCCAGTTTGTTATCGGTTTTCTGGAAATTGGGTTCTGAGGGATCCTGCTGACATTTTTGGTGTTTGATCTTTCATCGTAAATGGGTATTGCGGGTTTGTGCTGAAATTCTGGTTTTTGATCTTTGGATTACCAGTTTTGTGTTTGGCTGACAGAAATTTGTAGGACAGATGATAGATTTTTAAGGAAAAAGCGGAGAAGGTATTAGATTCCGCATCAGCTTTTCGGCTATAGAAAATTCCGGGAACAGTTTAAAAGAATGCTTCATATCTTTATGCCATCTTGGGAAAAATCTGATACCAGATCTGACAATTTTGCTTTTTGGGAACAGCAATGATCTGTTTTCGAGATGCCCTGTTCGTATGTGATGTCTGTGGTTGGATTTCTTCGGTTTCTAGGTGCGGGATTGGTACATAGAGTCATTCAGGGACATGAGAGCGTTTCCGGAGATCAAGGGCACGAGTGGAGAGAAGGAATTCACTCAAATGATTAAAGCCATCAAGGTGAGGCATAACAATGTGGTTCCAATGATGGCATTAGGTGTTAATCAGCTGAAGAAAGGATTGGGTCCGAAGATTGTCTCTGAGGATCTCGATGAGATTCATCAGTTTCTCGATCGCTTTTACATGTCAAGAATAGGGATTCGTATGCTTATCGGTGAGACTTGGTTTATGATCTCTGTTTCCCGGTTGGAAGGGTTTCATCATTGAGGTGTAATACCGATAAAATTATCGTGAAACTCACTCAGGGCAGCATGTCGAGTTGCATAATCCAAACCCGCCGCCTCATACTGTCGGTTACATTCATGCTAAGATGTCTCCCATGGAAGTAGCAAGGAATGCTAGTGAAGATGCTCGGGCGATTTGTTTAAGAGAGTATGGAAGTGCACCCGAAATAAACATTTATGGGGATCCAACTTTCACCTTTCCGTGAGTTCAAGTTCATCACTTTTTCTTTTATTTTGATCGGATTCTTTCCTTACTCGTTTCTGTTTGCGTATAGGTATGTTCCAACCCATTTGCATCTAATGGTATACGAACTTGTGAAGAACTCGCTCCGTGCTGTCCAAGAACGGTTTGTAGATTCCGATAGAGTTGCCCCACCTATCCGGATAATAGTCGCCGACGGGATCGAGGATGTCACAATAAAGGTTGTTCCTTTCTAAATCACTCTTGCCCTTTTTCAGCTTCTTTAACGTTCCGGGGTCAGTGACTGTTCTTGGTGGTATAACAGGTCTCTGATGAAGGTGGAGGCATACCGAGAAGCGGTCTCCCGAAAATCTTCACTTACTTATACAGCACTGCGAGAAATCCCCTGGACGAGAATATAGATCTCGGGACAGCTGATGTCCCGGTGACAATGGCTGGTTACGGGTACGGTCTCCCGATCAGCCGCTTGTATGCTCGGTATTTCGGAGGGGATCTTCAGATGATATCCATGGAAGGATACGGTGAGTTGTCATCTCATTTCTACTAGCCAATCTGTTTTGAAACATTGAAATGGAACCGATCTTATTCCCGAGGGTTTTGTGGATCGTTTTCAAGACTGAACTCGGGGGATTCGTTAGTGTTATGTTGTCAAATGTTTTGCAGGAACTGATGCGTATCTGCATTTGTCTCGCCTGGGAGATTCACAAGAGCCTTTGCCGTGACATTGCCTGATCATGTTTCTCGGTTTCATCTGTCATTTAGGGTTTTTGTTTTCCTGTACATTCACACTGTGCTTATGGTTTCATTTTTCATTCATATGGAGATTTTCCCAAGAGAATGATTTGATTAAACTCTTGTCCTCTTCCCTTGTATCTGAAGCAACGTCTGCTGTTCCTTGCCCGAAAGTCACGGGCACTGGTCGGATATCCGAGATTATACCCGAGCGATTTGGATTTGGGTTGTAAATTTCGGAATATGACCTAATCATCTACTTATTCGTTACCCTTTCCCCCAATGCTACTTTGTTGTGACAAAATTCCATACGGGAACTCTCAAAGACATTCTTAAATCTAAATCCGAAATCTCAAGAGATATTATTTGGTCATAGACTCGTTTGGTCGAGTATTTCGAAAGTATGTAATATGCTTACACAAATTTAAATATAAAATTTAGAATATTTTTTTTTTAATAAAATCATTTATTAGAAGTTCACTCGGATCAATATCCAATCCAAAATTGACGGGTAAAAATATTTTGCCAGTACCCTTAATTGAATCCGAAACTACGTATTTATGAACAGTAACCGTATGGCGGCTAAACAGTAACCGTATGGCGGCGTGAACAGTACCCGGCTGCGTGAACAGTGCCCGGCTGCGTGAACAGTACCGTAGCTTCACTATTCATTTATAACATATATATTATATATAAATTTTTGTTTGTTTTTAAGTTAGTTTTTTAAATTACTAAATAGAAAGGCCTTAGGCCCCCCCCCCCAATCAGAACCAT